ATTATTGAAGTGTAGGAAATGATATTCAGTTCAGCAATTAGAGAAGGAAAACAAAGGAATACAATTGTGACATTGTGATCTGTTTTGTGTCATATCGTTTAGCAGTTAAATAAAAGGAATTTTATAAATTTATAATTAATCTATGATTTTCTGTTTGAGAAATGTGTTCACAGCCTTTGTCTTTATTATATCAAATAAAACTGATGTGAAATGAAGTATGATAATATTTATGAAAATTTAATAAAATATAAAGAAAGAATAAATGAAGATGTATTACTTCAGCTAATTTTAAGACGTGTCACTTAACATCTTCACCCATGGATTACATTGTTGCCATCACTAATAATGGTAATTCAATAAGGATGGCTTGTAACATATTTTTTTCATGCCCTGGTACGGCCAAGAGTGGAGAGAGTCAGCTTTAACCAGGTTGGTGGATACGAAGTATCTACTTAGAGGAGTTGAAAAACCCTGATTACAAACCAATGGTACACATGGGCTCTAATATCGTGAAGGAAAAAATGGCGTATGAACCAATTTTCAGTCACCTACTACCATGGGACTGCACCTCTTTACGTTGCTCCAATACTTTGTGGATTAGACCTGCAGGTCAAAGGGTCTGTGAGTGGCCTCCTAAGAAAACAATCTGCTTCGATTTGGGCATTCGGACAGTATCTCAAATCTCACACAAATCGAGTGATTTATGTGATGCATACCTGTTTGATGCCTTCTTATACTAAGGTTTATTTGTTTAAATAAATAATAATAATATTTCAACTTACTACAGTAATAATTCTATAGAATGATGAATATTTAGTGGAATTTCAAAACTTTTAAATAACTACAGCTTAATGCTCATGCGGGAATTTATTTTTTCTCAACTGACTAATTACAATAATTTACATATTTTAAACATAAATTGCTAAAATTACTACAAGTTTCAAACTATGATATACCATATATCATCCAAATTCTTATGCTTATGAACCTTACATGAAAATGCAATTGGTTGAATTTATCATTATTTTTAAATGTCATCGTAGTTACAGGGTTTGTTTTACAACAGAAATCTAACAATCTGATCGAAAATCAATAAATCGATAAATAACTCATTACCGTGAAATGATAGACAATCTTTTAATTTCTTATCATATACATTTTTTTCCATAAGCTCACTTGTTTCAATAGCTTATTGAAAATTTTCCAAAATATCTTATATAGTTTTAATGTCACTTGAATAGAATTTATTTAAAACACCATCCCTTCATTTAATCATTATTCATATCCATATAATGTACAAATTAGTCCATGTTAAACAGTCAGTTTTTAAGCATATTTCAATGACTTTATTCATAGAAACTATGTATTCAATGTATCCAACTGAATACCAGATACATCATTTCTTTTCTTTTTTTTCTTCAGATTTCTTTAATAATGCAACTTATTTCATGTAACAATGGTTCTCGTATTTTGAAAAACAAAAGAGACTTATTCACATACATATTGAACCATGAAAAACATTTAAAGATATAAAATAAACAATAAAGAAATACTTTTAAAGTAAATTGTAACTTTTGAAATTATTAATCCATTCAAGTTGATTATTTTATTTGTAACACTTTGTAAATAAACAAATGAATCAATAAAAGTATATCACTTAGTTATCTTCTGCACGAATGATAACATAAGATTGAAATTTAGAGAAGAAAAAAGATATAGGTTGTTCACTTAAAAATTCGTAATTTTTTTTATGGTATCATCAATGGAAAGTTTAAAACTATAGGTGGTAACATCATTTAGCTTACTACTCATTAACGCTTTAGCTATTTGTTTATCACGGATATACTACCATACATATGGGAAAAATGTAACTTCATACAATCTACATAATAGAAAATAGATAGCCTACTTTTAAGTTATACTGAAGTATGATAAAAGAGTCGTTGGAACTTAAATATGTTAGTTTATAAATTTTAGATACTCAACAATATAAGACGGAATAGTTGCATTACCAAACATCGTAAGTGACATGGTTTCAATAACAGTTTCACCAAACAACGTTCAGTAGTAAATAGCCGCGTTTTATCCTACTAGTAACTTAAGTTACACAATTAATCATATCAAGTACAAAAGTGTTCAAGTCATATGCACAATCTGGACAGAGATAATATGATATGGCTAAGGAAAAATGTAAATTCAGTAGTAAATATTTTTGAGTAATTTCACATAAATAATCAACTTATAAAAATATATGATGATTTGGATATTAATCTTACTATTACGTAATCTACTGTAAACAACTTTAAAGAGACAACTTACTACTAAATTACGAAGTACCTAATCTACTACTAAATACATTTTATTAAGTAATATACTTCGACTACTTAATATTTATTTAGTATAAAGCTGATTTTCTATTGTTACTACAATGAAAAGAATGATTTGACAAATGTGTTTCATTAAGATTTACCATTTATATCTGTTCAAATAAAAAGTAAATTGAAAGAAGACGGAAATATGAAATGGTCATTATATTTTATCTGACTAAATAAAAGATTACTTTGAGTAAACTACAATATTAAATAAGCTGTCACAGTTTATTTCATACGAAGAGACAAATTGAAATTCTTAGGGATATTTATTGCGTTTCATCTGAATGATGAGAAGCCTACGTTAACAACTACTAAAAATACTGGCTACCGAAATAGGAAATATTCCAGAATGTTTCAGCAAAACATCTCTTTTTAATGAATTTAGTTTTAAAACTGTCTGATGCTACCTACTTATTAATATGTACCTATTCAAAAGTATAAGTTCTACAAATATTTTTTCCCTAGCACTCTTTTGAACTTTTAAACTAAACTGATTTATTCTGCTTTCCATTTAACTATACAGCTTTAAGAATAGAATTACCCAAAATCCAGCCCTTGGTTCAAATCCTGTGAGAAGGATCGTGAATGAGCACTACCGAGGAGTTCCACAATAGGAAGAAACGGCCATCCAATGCTTCCAGGTTTTCAATGGTGGTCTAACATCATTCGGTTCATGGTCTCAATCAAAAACTGATATGTACTACTGATAGTTTACAAATATTTACTGTAAAATGAACACTACAGAAATAAGGAGCTATTATTACTATTATTATTATTATTAATACTTGGAAATAATTCTAAAACATTTGTATGCCTATTTAAACAATATTTATTTATTCAATTATTTTTACTGGATTTTAAATGTTTCACTCTCACATAATTTACTTAATTTCAAATATGAAAACAATTTATCATAATGTAGACATTATTCTGATATTATAATATTTACGCTGTTAATCCTATTGTAAGCTATAGTTTGACAATATCAAGGTATCCATACATAAAGGTTACTATGTCAGTAGAAAATGATGAGTTTAGTTTTAAAAACAATTAATTGTTAAGTACAATATAAGGTAACAAGATAAATGTATTTTGCTACATAAATTTTTCTTATATACATACCATCTCTGTGTGCGTTGAAGTTCAGTTCACTGAAAAAGTAACATTTTACTTACCAGTTGTGATATTCAATATCACAAAATGGCTACCAATCTGACTCCAGTTATATCATGTGTTTTATTGTTATTGAAATATACATATCGTCTAAGCTTGTATAAAATCACTGACTTAAATCGCATTAGTGTATAATGGAATTAAATAAGTTAAATACGAGAATGAAGTTTTGTATACGTATATTTTGTACATATTGATCTGGACAGGAAGTGAGAACGATGAAGCGAATAGAAGAGAGCGAAGCAAAATGACGCATGGTGGAGAAGGCGTGTGAGCCAAGTCCATTTAGTTGGACAGACATTTTGTCTAATAGTTGAATTTATGAGTCAATTAAAGTTAGGCCATCATAGAAACCCTTGAACGACCGTTTCGTCCTAGTATGAGACGACTCAGCAAAGTGCATCCACGATCCCGCCCCCCCCCGCGAGATTCTAACCCAGGACCTATCAGTCTCGTGTGCGTACGCTTAGCCTCTAGATCACTGAACCGGCATCCAATGATGTTAATGTTTAACTCCAACCAATTTACAAAACTGACAATAGACATTTTGTTTTTATGTATCTAAGTATGTTTTCTATTTAACCATATATGATAACTAATAAATTTACATTTGTTTTATCTATGAGAACAAAATATTTTCTATCATACAACGTAATTATTATTAAAAATGAATAAAACAGAAATACTATAACGTCGAAATAATTTTAATATTAAAAATGGACGGACAGATATTAACGATTAACCAAATATTTCTACTTGTTCTCATCAAATTAAACTTTAATAAGTTCAATCTCTGATTACAACCATATTTTATTATTACTCTGTATATTATTCCTTTTTCAATATTGTACAAATGATTATTCAAACTTTACGCATATTATCATCATTGAATCTATACTGTTTATTGAATATATTCAATATTTAACATCGTTTACACCAATTAATGAATAACAATATAAAATATTCATTATATTCATAATTGTTACTTTATTCAGATCTGATTAATGATTGAGAGACAAAAAAGCGAAACAACAATCTCTATCTGATTACTTTGATCTATTAAAAACATACATACATTACATGAGCAAATAATAATAAGATGAATTGTCAACTAACACTAGCAGTGACCAGTGGAGTTCAAACAAGTCTGTTGTGAGATAGTAACTCAGTGAAGACAATGATGGATGTGTCGTTCAATTTTGTGGATTAGTTGGATGCCGGCTCAATGGTCTAGAGATTTGAATCTCGCGAAGCAGAATCGTAGATGCGCACTGCTGAGGAGTCCCGCAATAGGAAGAAACGGCTGTTCAGTTCTTCCAAGTTTTCCATAATGGTCTAGCTTCAATTAACTCATGATCTCAATTATTAAAATTACTATAATATCCACAAAAACCCCTTCTGATATTAATATAATATTTATACAAAATTACAATAAAATTAGTATAAATAACTCACGTATATTAAAAATTGTATTTCGAATAAAAACAAACTTAAATAAATCTGTACCAGTGATATTTTAGAGGAAATATTTCTTCTGTAATTGTAAATTATTTTGTCAATGAACTATTTATCTATTTAATGTTGTAATGTTTTTTTTTAATGCTTTATTTCTATTCCTTGTCAAAATTATAATTTCAAACAATAACCAATCGGAAGATAATCACCTACGCATAAAGATTCTCATTATGATGTGTTATTTGTTTGATGTAACTCAAGTGTTAAATTTGGCAAGTCAAAATTGTTCGTTTGTTTTTCTAAATTAAGGAGCATTTTGTTTTTTTCTGTCTTTGAACTAGGGGGTGATGAAGAACTTTCTTCGTGATTTATTTAAACTATTGAGCATTTGAACAGCTCCCTTATATATGTGTTATGATATAATTTCTTAAGGATTATCATCACTTTCGATGTTAGTTTCATCTAGTATTGATAGATTTTGCCAAGCTGCAGAATAAACTGTAACATAAAAGATATAAGACTCTTTTGTATGAACAACACTTGAAATGATAGTTGAATAACTACTGAACGTACATAAATGATCAGTTTACTGTATTTGGTGAAATATAGTGGCATAAGAGTAATTGTCATTACAAATCGATTTTCCATGATAAGCGAAGCTAACCACAAACCAGTAGGCAGATGGATAGGTTCAAACTAAAGGGGGGAAAAAATTCAGTGAAATCGGTAGATCTTATATATATATATATATATATATATATATATATATATATATATATATATATACATAGTATTTTAAAAGTAGGGTGAGTATTAGGATTAAGTATCAATTACGAAACATTTCTACACATTAATAGCAAATGGTTATCCACTCAAGTTAATGCCAAGACCTCTAATTTATTCAGTGCCAAAGAAGTTTATATCAATCTACCATATAGAGGCGAATCTAACAGTATAGTTTTAAGGCAGAGATTGAAAGCAGCCATTGAGAATACGTATTATGCTGCTCAGTTGGTAGTGATTGAAAAGTCTAAGGCTATGATTCCTAATAGACCCAAACAATGCACTAATGATTACGTCACATCCCATTGTATTTACCAATTTACATGTTTGTGTGGACACATACATAGGGAGGAGTAATCGAATAATGCAATCAAGGGTCAATGAACATGTGCCTAGATGGCTTCAAAATCAATGTGTGTCAAATGATCCGATCAATGTAGGAGGTAGAAAACCAAGTTCGTCGATAGTGAAACATATAATTGAGACGGGGCACAAAATTGACATTAATACAGCATTTAGAACGTTGTGTAGAAATTGTCAAGGTCGAATTCTTAGGTTTATTGAAGCCTTGGTTATTCGTAAATTTAAACCCCCCTTATGTGTACAAAAACAATTTGTCGTAACCTTGAATTTACCTTGGTAATCCTTAAGTCATTCTATGGCCTAGGATAACGCGACAATCTCTTATTCTTTCTCTCCCCTTTGTTATTTTAATTGAACTTTTATTTAATTGACCTTTATTAATTTTCATATAAAAATGCCTTGACAAGTATATGTGTGATCAGATTCTTCGAAATGTATAGCGCAAATACATCACATTTTTCAGATTAACTCCGTCTTCTCATTGTTCTATCGAAATTTATAATTGCTTTAAATTTCTACATCACAATAATGTTGAGGTGTGAGAGGTCAAAATGATAAGTGTTGTAGTTCGTTATTTTTGTTTGGGTTAATTCGAAAATTACTACACTTCATCATAAAGCCGTTCTTATATGATAATCGTAGAAAGAAAGACGAAATGACTTCTGAAAAATTAAAACTCAATTTGACGTTTTCATACGGATAATCATTGTACTGTACTTTTGTATTGTACTTTTAAGGGCGTTTAGTTTATCCATATAATAACAAATCTTTCGAAGGCTAAGGAACCTTAGCTGGTTGAAAAAACAATTTAGTAGATAAATAATATATTTGTAATATCCCAATGAATATAAAAATCAGATTTCCTACTAATTGGGATATTACGAATGTATTTATTTATAACAATTTACCCAATGCTCAACTTATTCGAAATTATCAAGTCAAACCTTGGTAATGATACCTATTAACTCAGTAGGTATTCATAAGAATAAGAGCACTTTTCTGACAATGTGAAATGCCAATCAAATCTATAGTCAATAAATTGCTGATAGCTCGTAAACGAATATTTAAAACATTCAACTGATGATCATTCAATTAATTAATGTAAACATGACCTATACAATTTTCACATACGATTCCGAATATCAGAGTACATGAGCAATTAGTTTAACACTTTAATCTCAAATAATTAATAATAACTATACTGTTGTTTGAACAGTACACATTATTTCTGTTACAGACACTTTGTATATGGTCTATACTTTGTACATGAGACATAATGATTTTTGATTTACATTGAAATCCAATCTAATAGTAATAATATCATTGATATGATGAGCTTATATTCTCATCAGATTGTACGAAGTGTATTGCGCGAATACATCACATAGTCTTAATAAACTCCGTCTTCTCACTAGATTATAGAAACAATAATACTCGTTCTGCTCATAAAAAATTGAGTTATTCAAAATGTAATAAAATTACTAAACAACAAGGTTTCGTGTTTATGAAAAATTAACATTAGATAATGAACCACTCAAAATTAATACGAACTGAACAAATGTCATATTTTGGTTCAGGCCATTTCTCGCCCATAAATTCATTGATATTTACGTGTAAAGATGTTGCCAATATTTTATTTTTCGCATCTATCTTGCTTTAAACTTTATACTCAATAAAACTGTAGTATTTTTATCACAATTAACTAGCTGACTTTCGCTAAAATTTGTCTATCACATTAGGAAAAAAACATGAATTTAAGTCGGAAGTCATTATAGTCTAGTTATCATGAAAATTCACTTGCACATGTCAATAAATTACATTCAGGATGAGATACTATGCCAATCAACCTTGGAACAAAAAGGTAACTTAATTTATAGCAAACGATATTACAGTTTCGACAGTACAACAACTTATTGAAATATTATTATAAAATCATTTACGGACACGCAAATGAAATAAGCAATCTCTTATTCATTGTTTAATTTTCTTAGATGCAAGTGATTTCATAAATACTTTCTTCACAATCTTTTGAAATCATGTTTTGTAAATCAAAGAAATAATATATCTGTTCTAGAAAACCTGGACACTTTCCTACTTATTCAAGACGTAAATCTGATTACTGAAGAAATAGATTTTCTCAGATTTAAATCTTTGTATTGCGGTTAACGATACTACAATGTAACCGTTTTGGAAAAACTTTCTCTTCTACTTTATGTAAAGTCGTTACAACCATATCAGCCTGTGGATCAATGATTTTAACAGATCTAATTAAACGACGACCACTTAATGCATGATCTATCGGTTAAGATTCGGACAACGTTTAAACTTATAGCACAGTGTAACCTGATCCACAGAAGTATGATCTCAAGTGTGTAGAGAGTCACCTCTCTCTGTCTCTCGAAATGCTGTCACATGGCCACGCGTATACACCACTATCAGGGAATTCCTATTCACTACCTTCCAAGAACAGGGGTGTTGTTTACGTAATTGAAAGGACAAAAAGCGAATGCATGACGCCCTAACCGGGTTGGTGGGTACGAAGGATCCACTTAGGGGAATTGGAAAACCCTGGTTACAAACCAATGGTACATATGGGCTCCAGAATCCTAAGGAAACGAATGGCGTATGAACCGATTTTTGTTCACCGACTACCATGGGACCTCATCTCTTTACGTTGTCCACTGTCTTGTGAATCGAATCTTTAAGCCAAAGCCTCGGTGAGTGACCCTCTAGGAAAACAATAATAATAATAATACTTTTGGACTTCAGCTTAACAAAATAAAGTGTTATTTAAGGATTAAATCCATTTATAATTAGAACCATTTTAGATATTTTAGCAGACTTATTGTACTTACATTTAGTTGTATGAGTAAGTGACAGAATTCAAATCAATGGCTTGAGGAATAGTGGTATGGCTACTTACGAGATGAAACATAGATTCTTACGGTTGATCAAGTCCCAGCATAATAAATCTCACTCTACATTTATAAATATTAATTTAATTAGTAATACAGGGTTAATTATCACTAGAATTCGTTTATTGGTTAACCAGTATGAAATTCAAGTTTGTAGTTTAAAAGGCTTATTCTTACGAACAGTTATTTTTTCTTGTCGGGTCAAGGACTATATTTGACTTAAAAAAATTGTTATAATACCAAAGAAAATAGATATTTTTGGAGCTTGTTCCAAACTTTAGTTATAATCAGAAAATGCGGAAAAACGATCAGTAAAGTGAATTGTAGAGATAATTCAAGTGCGGAATAGTATTCGAATCAGCTGACATCATATGAAAAAGCGTTGAAGAGCATGGAAGATTAAAAGCGATTTCGTTCTTCTTTCCTCCTCTTCAGTAGTTAGACGACACAAACCTTCATGGAATTAGATCTTTTGTATATTCATTCCACTAACTCAAAATGTAGTGATACATATCTCAAACTTCATCCACTTTACAATATGGAGCTGTTAAGGATACGGAACTGAAAGAGAAATAGGAATGGTCAGTTAGATCATTTTCATTTTTATTTTATTAGAACTATTTCAAGATATTTATAGTTGACCTGTATAACAAATTTTATTTGCGCTTCCAGGTTTACAATGGTGGTCTAGCTTTAATCAACTCATCAACTCAACTATTAAATTACTACAATCTCCATAAAACCCTTCTTCCGATAATGAAATAATGCTCCAAATCTAATGAATATATTCCACTTTATTCAAAAATTTTTCCAGTTTTAGTAATAAATAATAGTGAACACCTAGTGAACAAATCATTATAATTAATCCTTAAGCATAATATTTATTCAGTTAAGTAATTTGACATAAATAGTGAGATAAATGTTTATTCAGTTCTAGACTCAATATTTTGATGACAGTGATTATAAATCTGATTATTTCATCAC